TGCTGGTTGGTGACCTGCACACAGCAGGGGGTTGGAACTAGATGAGCATTGTGGGCCTTTTCAGCCCAGGGCATTCTGTTATTCTTTCAAACTCTAAAACCTTTTGTATTAGGTTTAAAAAAGTATTCTTCTTGAATGACACTGTAGCATCATGGTATCCAGTTCTGCTTAAATAATATTATCTCCTAGGTCCTTGGCCCAGGGCAGCAGGAATTTGTCAAAGGAAAGATCAGTGCTTGGAAGCTGTCAGTGCTTCCAGTACATACTCACCGCAGATCCAGGTGATGAGCACCTCCCTGAATGGTCACAGCAGTCAGTGAAGGACTCAGGCTGCTGTTTATCTGGAATGAGAGCAGCAGAGAGAAACTCTCACCAAGTGACTAGGCAAAACCAGACCTCAGTTCTGAAAACTGGATGTAGAGCTGGGAAGGACTGGGGAAAAGTGTATAAAGAGATCCACTGTGCAGCTGGTAACCTAATTGCAGGATGTGTGGGCCAAACCCATAAGATGGGAACTGTCAACCTAACCCAGCACAGGCAGGCTGAAACTGCAGGATCCTCGTGGCAACCCGCCCTAATCAACCTGCTCCTTTTGTTGCTGGCACTGCTAAGGCAGCCTGCAGCAAGGGATGCCTTGCTCCCTTGCAGCTAACTGCATCCTGCTTTGGGTCCTTTTTAACCAGAGCTCAGAAGTTTTGTTGAATCTAAACTGAAGTGCTTCTTGCTTTGGCTGCTGGTTACAGCAACTGCCTGATCTCACAATGTATGCGGAGATGGGAGAAATCACAGAGCGCTGAATTGACTGAGGCTGTCTCAAAACAGAATTACAACAGGTTCTTGGAATTATAGGATCACAGAGTGGTTTGGGTTGAAAGAGACCTTAAAGCCCATTCAGTTCCAAGCCCTGCCATAGTCGGGGCACCTCCCATCAAGCAGGTTGCCCAGGGCCCCATCAGACCCAGCCCTGAGCACCTCCAGGGTTGGGGCAGACCAGCCAGGTTCTGGGGTTCCCACTGAGCCTACCAATCCTGAAGCTACCGTTGCCACAGCAACATTCCTGGCTGGGGCATCTCACTGCTCGAAGTGCCTGTCACTAATGTCCCCAGGGACTGCAGCATGAAACAGCCACATGCAGAAATTCACAAGGCCTAACACTGACCAGCAGGGCTGCTCTGAAAGAGCCGTGAGCAGCACCCGCCCCAAAAGGCAGCTCTCTGTGCTCTGTGGCAGCAGTGCGTGCGCTTACCCCACCTCCAGCCCACGGGTCCAAGTCTCCATTTGAAAAGATGATATTGCTTGCACTTTTCAGGTCTGAAATTCAAAGATGACACATGAGAGCCTCATCCCTACCCAGCAACCACAGCAAACACAGACGAGAACTATTTCCACCTCAAGCTGTGTCTGTCCCCGCAGAGCTCAGCCAGGCGGAGCACAGGGAGGGAACTGCACCGCAGCACAGAGGGCTGAGCAGGCGGCACCTCTGCAGCAGACGCACCTCCTCCCCAGAAGTTGATCTGCAGCCACCGCGCTCGGGGCCTCACTCGCCATCGGCTCCAACAGTACTGTTCTCTCATGGCCTCTGTGAAGGGCATCTCAGGGAACATGTCTGTCACGTTGTTGCTGTTGAAAGTTAAGTTGATCTCGGTACACACCTGAAACAGAGCATGAGCTGGCATGGAGAGGGGTCGGTGGCGCAGCATCCCTGCTGGCATCCCCAGTGCCTCACCTGGTAGTCCCAGGCCTCAGCATCCGCACCAGTGCCACAGCCTGTGGGGTCAGCGCAGGGCCGGTACAGCTGGTACACATCATAGCACTGCAGTGAGCCGGAGGAGTTGTAGAACACCCCTGCCAAGTGGGAAGAGCACAAACAGACCCATCAGCATGGTGCTCCTGCTGCTGCTGCACCCACAGGCGCCGCGCAGGCCAGGACCAGCCGGGGGGTGGCCGTGGCTGTGGCAGGTGCAGAGCAAAGCACCAGCTGTAGGTTACGGTCACGGCTTTACACCTCACTGCTGCCTGTGTCTTACAGCCCACTCTGCAATGAGCTCTGCTCACCCCAGAAGCTGTGACCCATTTGTCAGCCCCTGCACCTCCAACCCAACTCTCCAGCACCACGTGTGGGAATCATCCTGACACCCAACTGAGCTGGGTGTAACCACTGTGACCATCCCATCCCACCCCTCCCTGAAAACTGCCGTTGGGCAAACGCATCAAATTGAACACAAGGGCCGATGTGGGGGAGTGAATCCTAGACAGGACTTTGTTTGACTGTTGTTCAGAAAGGGAAGGCCTGCATGTGCAGGCTTGCCCTGATGAAAGAGCACCTGCCCAGCAAAGCACTGCTGGGGAACAGGCTGCTTTTGTGCAGAGGGGCCGTTAAGCGACAGCAAGGCAGGAATGCAGTTACACCAGTGGCTGCCTACTGCTGCCAGAGCCAAAGGACCCGCAACAGAGTACCCAGCACTCCGGGGACGTCTGCGCGCTGGCAGCACCGCCTCGGCTGTCCCAGAGCATGAACCTGCAGACCTGGGGCTGCTCCTGGCATACATGCTTTTAGAGCAATGCTGTTGGCTTGCAGAGCAGCATGGGGAGCTTCAGGTCTGACACCTACCTGGAAAAACTTCTGGAAGGCATCAGCAGGCTTCGCACCCAGAAAGCACTGTGTGATGTAACACTGGAGGCAGAAGGGGTTTGCTTTCCAGCACACAAGATCATTTTAGCATCAGCAAGCAATTACTGCAAGATTCTATTTGTTGGGAACGCAACAAGGATGGGGAGCGCAGATGGAAGCGTCCGTCTGAACGCTGTCAGTGCCACGGGGCTGAGCAACGTCCTCAGCTTCATTTACTCCAACAAATTAGATCTCTCCTTACAAAATGTTGAGGAGACATTCAAGGCTGCAGAAGCCCTGCTGGTTGGAGAGGTGATCAACCTGTGTTTCCAATTTCTGGAAAGCTGCTTGAGTGGTGAGAACTGCGTGGACATTCTACGCATTGCCAAAAAACTTGGCCCCACAGAGCTGAGAGAGAAGGCCATGTGCTGTGTAGGGCAGCATTACAAACAGCTCCTGGCCAACCCTCAGAGCCTGAATGATCTTGACAGAGGAACCCTCTGTGAAATCTTAGACAGGACCACCATGGAGGGGAGCAGTGAGCCGGAGCTGCTCAGAGCTGCTGTGAGCTGGCCGCAGCATGACCGCATGCGGCTGCAATACATGGGGGACATTTTAAAGCGCATCAGATTCCCTCTCATTCCTTACAGTGATCTGCAGCGCTGTGTCCAGGAAATCCCTTTGACAAGGCTGGACTGGGGCTGCTGCCGGCTCCTCCAGGACGCCCTGATCCACCACCCCCAGCTCTGCACCCGGCCATCCCAGCAGACCCCGCACACCATCCTCCGCTCCGCTTTCCCTGCGCTGCTCATCGCTGGTGGCAGAACCACCACCAACAGCATCTGCAGGGAGATGTGGGCTGCAGAGCAGAGCTGCGGCACCTGGCGCAAAGTCGGGGACCTCTGTGTGCCCCTGTACAACCACTGCATAGTTGTCATCGATGACTTCCTCTTTGTCTTGGGGGGGCAGAGCACATTCGATCCCACAGGAAAGCAGCCATCAAATGAGGTAAGCCAAGAAACCTTTAGCCTTGGAAAGGGGCAGGGGAGGAAGGGGATCATTCTGCTGCTCACTAGGTCACTGTAGGTCTCCCACCTTTCCATGTTAAAATCCTACAACCACAGAATATCCTGAATTGGAACAGACTCTCAGGGATCACCCGGCCCCACACAGCACCACCCAATCCTCAGCCCTATGGCTCAGAGTGGTGTCCCAGCGCTCCCTGAGCTCCTGCAGCTGGGGGCTGTGCCTGCTGCCCTGGGAGTTGTGCCATGCCCAGCCCTATGGGCACAGCAATTCCCCAGCCCCATCTGAGCCTCCCCTGACAGCTCCATGCTGTTCCCTTGGCCCTGTCGCTGTCTCCACAGTGCACAGCAGGGCAGCCCTTCCCCTCTCCCAGTGGCAGCGCTCAGCCAGGTGCACCCCAGGGCACAGTTGGCCCTTTGGGCCGCAGGGCACACTGCTGTCACTGTCTTCTAGAGCCCTGTGCAGTATTAGCAGCCCTTGGGAACACAGGTTCCAAACTCTGGTAAGCAATCAATTCCTGCCCCATCTCATCTGCTTCCACTGTAAGCTGTCCCACTAATCCAAACAGAGCCATCATGAGCTCAGCCACCTCAGCAGTCCATCAAGTAACCACCCAAATGTTACCCCCAATCCATCGCTGCTGTGGCAGGCACTGCCATTGGGGGCAGAAACTGAAGCCTCCTGCACTCAGCAGCTGCAAGTGGCATTTCCTTCCCTGAGGCAAAGTCAGGAGGTGGCTCAGCAGCAGTGGCACACATTCGGGGCCACAGCCCATGCCTAGCTTCAACAGCACCTGGTTCTGCAGACAAGACTCTCCTTCCATGAGCTGGGCTTGCTAATCAAAACAACAAGATGGAGCTCAGGGGGTTGTTTAAGGTTGGGTAAGATGTAAAAGCTCAGCCGCCCTCCTCGCTGCACATTCAAACAGAAACAGAGGTGTAAAAAACAGCTTTCAATAGATGTGTGCCAGCTGCCATTCATAGCTTAACATTTTTCCATCAAACCGATGTATTCCAGCTCCTGCTCACTGCAGGTAGGAAGCACAGCCTGTTCCCAGGAACAGAGCCTCACGTGAGCTCGCTTAGGGCACACGGGGCTGCAGGGTGTCAGCTCCAACAGAGGCTCTACTGTCCAGATCTCCTCCAACCTTGAGAAAACTTGCATTAGCTCCTGAAGCCGGGCGCCTGCCTTCAGCTCATGGCCTCCTACATGCTGTGATTCCAGGTGTTCCGATTCGACCCATGCAATGCTTCCTGGCTCCAGCTCGCTGGCATGCTGCAGCGGCGGACGCGCTTCTACGCAGACGTGCTGTCTGACCACATCTTTGTGGTGGGGGGTGGGACGCTGCTGGGGGCCCTCACCCACACTGTGGAGTCGTACCAGCCAGCTGCCAACAAGTGGGAATTTGCAGCTCCCCTCCCCATACCTATCGCTGACCACGCGGGCGCAACCCATGAGGGAATCCTCTACATTTCAGGTGAGAAATCTATCCCAAACCAGCTTATTGCCAGAGTCCAAGCCTGCACCCACCCCAGTAACACCCACAGCTCACATCCTTTTCCAGCTCCATTAAACACAAACCCACTGCCAGCCTGAATGCCTGAGCTGTTTTCTTCCCACAGCATTAAATACAACACCTCCTGCTTGCAATTCACACTCCTGCTCAGCTCTGACCTTACAGTCCTGCCAAAATTCCAAAGCCTCGCTGGCAGGAAGGCAGACCAGGGGCAGGCAGCTGTAGTGCTGCAGATGGGATTAAACTGAGCTGTTAATCCACATGGGAGATGTGGCACTAACCCACTGAGCTGCTGAGCAGTGCTCACCCAGAGCCAAGGATGTATCCCCCTGCCGATGAGGAGCTGGGCTGCACAGGGAGGGAACAGGACCAGCACAGCAGATCCAGGCTGGCCAAAGGGACATCCCAAACCGTACAGCACTGTGCTCAGCAATAGGACTGGGGGGAAAGAAGGAGGAAGGGCAGTCACGGGGAGTGATGTCATTTCCTTCCAGAAAAACATTACATCCCCTGCTTTCCAGGAATATCTGCCTGCTGATGGGAAACAAATTCTTCATTTTGCTGTGTCTGCATGCACAGCCTCTGCTTTACACAGCAAGCTGTCTTCACCTCAATCCACGAGTTTTATCTTTATCGGGGGGGATTTCCCACTTTTCTCCCCCCTCCCACTGGTAGGGAGTGAGCATGCATCTGTGTGGGGCTCAGCTGCCCATTGGGGTTCAACCACAACTCATGCAGAGAATGCGCAGAGCTCGGGGAGATGGGCGTGTGCCCAAACTGGAGCATCATCTCTGCTGTTTGCAAGGACTCTCTGCAGGTTGGAATTCAATAGGTAGAAAATTAAAGGTATTTACCCTTCCAGCAGCAGCACCTTTGTTCTGCAAGGAGATTTTTGTAACACAGCCCCAAAATACAAAGGGAGAACCTAACAGAGACAAAGATGACAATAGCAATGGCAGAGTGACTCTGACCTTCTGACAAAGGTCCAAAGCTCAGAGAATTTCAAATAGTTTCCTTTAAAAATAAAAAAGCATCCTGTAGCAGAGTCCCTAAGGTTCCTGGTTATGCCCTAAATACCCCAACAGAAAAGTCTTTTGTGGAAAACTGTCCTCAGACAGAACTGGAACAGGTTCCTTCCTTTAAAATATCTAGGAAGCTCAGGGCTTTTTTTTTTTTTTTAATATCACATGACATCAGCCCTGCTGGTATTGCAGAGGGTTTGGTGGATGCCTGAGACTGACAGACAGACGTTCCAGCCCTGTTCTTTTCCCCCAGGGGGTTTCTCAGCAGGCAGAACCTTACCAGACACCTTCAGCTTCCTCCCTCGCCTCCGGCGCTGGATGCACAACCGTGCCATGACCTTCCCCCGCTGTGATCATGGGATGGCTGCGACCAAAGATGGGATCTTTTGCATCGGAGGAAGGACGCTGAAAGGAGTAAGTTCATTTGCTCTTGTAATACCACAACTGATCCAAAATGGAGTCTCTGTATGGCTGGGCCCTGGTGCATTACACCAGAAGGATGGACAGTAACTACGGTGGACTGGCACAGCAGCACATCAGTCACACTTCATTAAGAAAACATACTTGCCATTACAGCTGTGCACATTAAGAGCTGCCCTGCTGTCACACCCCATGTGCAAGAGCACAAAGCAAAACGCAGGGTGCAGATGCAGCCTGCTGCTGCAGGAGAATGCCACGTAACTGGCTGTGCACCTGTCCCAGAAACACTACTTGACCTCCTCTGTTTGTGCTGGGTTGGCAAATAGGAGAAGAAATGGACTGCAGTGAAGACACCAGTGTAGATTTTAGGAGAGATGGGTTTAAGTCCTGGGATGCCAGTGAAGCCTCTTCAGACTGACTTCCCATCTGTGAAAGCAGTGCAGCCTGCTGGGGAGGTGACCCACACTCCATCAGGGAGACACTCCTTCCCTGCAGTCAGGATAAGTGAATTCTGACAGGCCATTCAGCAATGCCTGTTGGAAAACATGAGGGCTTGTGGCTCAGCCCAACATTAATGCTGTTTCTTTCAAAGGAACAAAGGTATCTTAAAGCACTTCTTCACTGAGAATTGACAGAGATCTATGAAGTCAAGCAGTTCATCACATCTGACATCAGATCCTTCCAACCACACAAGCTCAGTTGCCTCCCACAGCTCAGTGCACTGTTGCTGTCTAAAGATGAGGTCCTCAGTAACGTGTTAAGTCTATGCAGTGCAGGCAGGACTTCAGTTAAATCACTCCCAGTAGGTCCCCGTGGCTCATTCTATTCATTCTCCAAGAAGAATAAAGCTTTGTTAGAGCATTCTTCAATGGAACTTTGGTATTTTATTCCATTTATTTTGATGCTCTGATTGCAAAATTTGGATTGTAAAATGCAGCACCTTGAGCTCCACCACATTCAGTACATGTTGAGACACTGGGTTCCCTCACCACAAACCAAACGAGCCTGACACGACACCGACACCACTTGAAGCACAATCAGATGGATCTCTTTGGTCTGGTTCTTTGCAGGTGGAGCAATGGATTCACGTCAGTGAGACAGAGTGTTACTGTCCTGTAAGCGATCAGTGGACAACGCTCACACTGTCCCCATTCAGCCGCTGCCAGTTCAGCATCACAGCCCACGGGTCAGTGCTTTACCTCACGGGGGGTGGATTGCTGCAGCACATGCAAAAAGAAGACAGTGTTTTCCTGTACGACACCAAAGGGCAGGTATGGAAGAAAGCCAGCTCCCTGCCTCGAGCTCTGGTTGATCACACCTCCTGCATGATTAAGCTGCCCCAAGCGAACACAGCTGGTGAGAGGCACAGAGTGCTGCCCCACCAGCAGAAGGGAGAAACCAAGTCTCAGCTTGTTAGCCGCTAAGATACAGGGGCCTAGCACTGCTTCCATGGAGAAGTAGGACATGGAAAGCTCAATCAGATGTGACAGCATTTGCCAAGACCTTAGTATCTTAGCTACCTGTCTAGCTCCCCAGCCAAACAATTTTAGCTGTGATTTAGAATTGATACTCCTGAAAGAACTTTGGAATCAGCTTCTAATATTTTCCTTACAAACACTGCTGACTGACAAATTAAATACTCGTGTAGGTAATTAAAACTGTCTTGCCACTCAGTTAGGACTGCAGGGCCCTGTGACAACAGCCTTGTCCTCAACCAGCAGAGCAGAGAACCTCCTTCAGTGACTGTGACTCAATCTGTAACTGCTTCAGCCAGAGCATGGGTAAACCCATCAGAATGGAGTACCTGGGAAGTCATCTCGTGGACAGTCAGCAGTGTAAGGGGCTGCCATGGCTAAAACTCATACAGTACAAAACATCACAGGGAAAAACTGGAGCTGTACCAGCTCCCACAATACACAATCCACACAACGAGACAACTCTACATTCAGGTGCTTCTGGAGAACAACATTTTAAATAAAAAATTCATCTGATAAGATTAACTCACCAACAAGAGCTGCCAGGCCTTGAATTGGATCTGTGTGGGCAAGGATTTGTTCACAGCCAACCTGCATGAGACACGGTAAAAGCAAATTGCAGACAGTCTACCATGCAGAGGGGCTAAGCTGGAAGTTAAAAGCATTGCTTGCACAGCTGATGGTTCAGCAGCTTTCCAGTGGCCAAAAGCAACATTTATTTTTTTATTTTCTCTTTCCCTCCAGTAAAAAAAATACATAGACATAGGGAGAAAGCAGCAGTGTGGAGGATAGTGATAACCAACAGATCCTTCCTCCTCCAATCAGAGTATTTTAAGTCCCTTCTCAAGCAAATTTAGAACAGTTACTTCCATTCTACCATTTTTAAACAGACCTTAGAAAGGAACTGCATGGCCATGGACAGCATCTTCTGTGCCCCTGCACAACACAGCCTGTGTGATCCCATGCATGCATTTTGCTCCAGGTAAGATTTGAACCTACATCCCAGCTGATCTCTTTGGCACAAGGCCAGAAGCACATCAAGCCCCATCAGCAGCACCAGGCTGACAGCAAAGCAGAAGCCAAGGGTTGTGACCGTGACTGGTGATCAGGGTCCTTTTTCAAAAGAAACTGGTGTTTGTAAGCCTCTCAGGCACCTTTCCCCACACTTGGCCCTCACAGAGGCAGGCATTTCTCTACACTGTACTCTGATGTACACCATCTTCCCTGGTGATTCTAGAAAAGGGAGCCTTATTTTCAGGCCTCCACCAAAAAAATGTGCCTATAGAAATGTGTCAAGATGGGCTATAACAAAACAGCGCTTTTTGAAAAGCTGCAGGTTTTCTGCATTCAAAACCCAAAGCCAGTGTGTTCAAAGCAAACACAGAGCACAGGAGGTATGGCTCAGCAAGCCCTCCCAACAAGCCTTACAGCACTGCACTGCAAACAGCAGTCGCTATTTCAGAGACAATTAAAATATGCAGATTTACTGTCAGAGTGGAAGGGCTCTGACATTCACCACTGCTTCCTCACATCACCACCGCCTGGTGCTACACACCTGCTGCTATCCTGCAGCGTGCAGCCCCCAGCTCAGGTCACTGAGGTGCACAACCCACCCTCCACACACAGCAATTCTCACCTGCATCCTGGTACTCACCTTCACTGGATTAGCAGGGAGGTGCCCCATAAAATCAGTCTTGTAAGGGTAGTCCATCATGGCAGTCATGGTGAAGGCATTTCTAGCAAACCCAAAAAGCTGGTAAACATCCTCCTTGCTAAAAATCTTGTTGCATGTGGCCATTTTGCTGCTGATTTCATCATAAGCTGCAGAAGGAAGGCAATTGAAATGCACAAACTTCAAAAGAGTAAATTGTGATCAGGCTTCAGCATTTTGTTTCACTTGGAGTAATGTGATATTGGAACACATAGGTGAGGTTTCCAGTGGGGAGGATATGTTACACCTAAGTTTACAAACACAGATGTTCAGGCACAGTCTTCCTCTGTGGCTTCATGACACTGTGCTGATCCACAGCTCTCATCTTGCCTCACTGAGCCATAGTGACCTCCCTGGGAAACACAGTGGCAGCAGCACGCTCCTAGCCAGAATGTTCCAGATGGATGCAGTCAACGCTGCTCACTACAAGGCCTTCCTGCCCAGCACCCTGCTTGGCAAGCTCCTTCTTGCTCCCTTTGGCTCTGCTGGCTCCCACCATTGCTCGCTGTGGAGCCAGGCAGGGCAGCTCATCAGTCAGGCTCAAGCAGTAGAACAGAGTACAGCACAGATATCTCAGCAGGAAAAAGAAGCCCCTTGGGAGCAGGAAGAATTGCCAGGCAACAACAATCCTTGCAGAGCCATCAAGGGCTCCTGAGATGTGCCTTCAAACCCTGATATGATACAGAAAGTTCAGCTGGAGTCAGGAAATCTACCTTATAAGAAATTAATTCCAGATGTACTTGGACAGTTTTGCATTTCTACTGGGAGAAGGTGCTCCTTCCATCTCCCACGTTCCACACTGTCAGCTCCTGTCTGTCCTCATTCTACTCAATGAGCTGTCCCACTGGAGCCTGACCGGACCTATGTCTGGATACTCACTTAAGTGACAAAACCTTAAATACAACCATCATGCTACAGAAAGCACAGTGCCAGACAGATCTCAAGTACCTCAGCCACTGAAGAGTAGTGTACATTCTGTCATGCAAATCTACAAGTGGTTTGGGACCAAGGGCAGCTTGAGGCTGCCCAGCAAACAGACCATGAACTCATCACGGGGGCTTCAAGGCCATGCAGGGCTCCCAGGAAAAGCTGCACTGAACCATGATACTGGTCTGGTCTAAAGGGATGAAATTTCAGTATCTGTTCTTGACATCACCTAACTGTCCAGTGCTGGAAATGAGAGAGACTGATGGCTGCTACAAGGCATACATTACCTTCCAGATATGTCCAATGACATGGACCATACTGTGGTCCCACTCACCAGAACAATTCACAACAGCATGGTTGTTGAGGACAAGCACTGGATGAAAGATGAGGCTTTACTGGCATCAAAATGCAGATGTTGAGCATTTTTTTAGCTTTTATTTTTTACTGCAGAAAAGCTGGTTTCATTAACAAGAGTCCATAGAGATGCTTTCATTTTGGTGTTACTTACTGATCATAACGCTAACCAAAACCATTCATCAAATAAAAATATCAATTATATGAGCAGAAAGGTCAGGTGGGCATTTGCACCAATTCAGCCAAACCAGTTTAAGACATAACAGAAGTGAAATGGAACCAACTTCATTTCCCAGCCCTGCCTGCTGTGCGGCGGTTTGTCCTTACCTCCCCTCAGGAACAGATCTCTGATCTGCTGGAAGGCTCTGCGGACAGCAGTGACACAGCCTGGGATGGACTTCTGAAAATCCTGAAGGGACAAGAAAGTTGTGGTGTTACAGCTGCACAGAGGATATGCCAGCAGTACTGGGAGTTGGAGCTTACCAGCTGGAGAGGATAGAATGTCACCTGCACCTCCAGATGCAGTGACACCAGTGCTCCTGCCTCCAGCTCTGGGCAGTCAGCACACCCCAGCATAAGCTACACCTGCACAGCTCAGAGCGAGCAGCAGCTGCTGCACCAGATATCTGCTGTCAGACAGAATCCTGTGTGCACAGAGGAGTGTCGGACTGAACGTGAAGCCATCAGATCACACGTGCCTCAGCCAGGACATGGAACAGCCGCTGGGCTGCTCGGCCCCAGAGCTGCTGTTTTGAAACACAACTGTCCTCACACTGCCCTATGTCTACAAGCAGGAGCCACATGGGGCTGAGAACCATAACCAGCCAGATGGCCAAGAAAGCTATGTCATTTTTTCTTGGGAAAACCATTACTAAACCTCCTGACACAGCACTTCAAGGTATGCCTGAAGGGCTGTGGCTGCTGCCACAAGCCATTCCTGTCACTGAGGGCTCCAGCAACCCAAACTCTCTCTCTTCTACCAGTTTGTAAGGTGGTTTGCCATCTGCTGGCAACACGTGCTTTGTAGTAACAACAGGAACTAGCAGGGCTCCTTCACAGTGGTCTCAGCCTCCAGAGCAATGGAGGTAACCCAGAAACTGTTCTCAAAATGACACCACCTCAAATAAAAACAGTTGTGGCATCTCTCTTTGATTCCTCTCTGTCTGAAAGTCTTGCAGAAATCACTTTGGAATTTACATGGGCATCCCCTTTGCAGCATGCTGCTGCACGTGTCCTTCACACAGCAGCCTTTGCTCTGGCTGTAGGGAGGGCAGTGGGCACATAGAACCTGGCCTCGTGTAAATGCCATAAAAAATAACATGTATGCCCTTTGCTCACTCCCCCTCCCCAGCGAGCTGTAGAATCATGAAATGTGCTAGAGATACTCAATAAAAGTCACAGAGAAAGTTCTTTTGAGACAAGGCACTCTGACTCAGAAGCAGAGAGCAGAAGACAGCTCCTGCAGTGATTCATGAAAGCTCTATGTCTCGATTAGCACTAACATCTCTGGAGCACTTGTTCACTTCTTTCACCAAGAAGAGCAGAACTCAGCCTTCAGATGTACAGATTGCTGTGATTTAAACATGTGGAAGGTGGAAGGAATTACTTTGAGAACAGCATAAAGATCTTGTTTAGGATCCCAGCCCAGGGGCTGAATTACCACTGCAGAGAATATGTTTTGAAGTGAATGAGAAACATTCTTTTCTGCCACACAAAAAGGTCAAACCCCCAATTTCAGGAGTGTAATGACTCACAGCACATTCACAACTGAAGCAAGAGCTGTCAGCTAAACAGGGCTTCTTAGAAGCAATTACCTTCCTCCAGAGAAAAATTACCACTGCTGAGCCCATTACATAATGGAGCAGTACTATATATTTTGTTTTAAAATGTGCAATTTTAAGGCAAGATGTATTTTGTTCTTTAAATACTTAAAAGTTTCAAGTGCTTGAGTTTGTTTATTTCAACAAAACTTCTTTCTTTACACTTACCAGTAGTGCTGTTTGTACTGTAAATGCCTGCATTAAAATAAGGTTTCATGTATGCAACAAGGTCACAAGGACCACGCTTCATAACAGGTAGTTCACACAAAGCCACGTGTCACCCACATCTAGAAACTCACGCCAGAAAGAGGCACTCTCACAAGCTTTTAATCACACCAGCTAGTAAATTTCTATCCACGTGGACTAAATGCAAGTCAATTATCAGCAATACCACCTTCCCAAATATTCTGATCTCCTCAGAATGTGGAAAGACATTTAAGTTTTGGTTTTAAGTGAATCCAGGACACTTTGCAGATTTTTCTAGTGAAATGAAGATTTTCAAACTCTTAATTGAAAATGTAATTCTGGAACTAAGGACCTGCTGTAAATAATCCATACTAATGCAAAATATATTTTTGGAAGAGGGTTTGAAAAATATATTACCTGAAGGTTTCAGCGAGGCACAAAGGGAAACTTTCAGGCTTGTAATTTGGTTAAGTTACGAGAAATGGGAAAGGGAACTGTTATTGACACTAAAGGTGCTGGAACCAATTTGTGCTGCTCATAAGAGCAATGCCTTTGGGCCCTGAGCTGCCTCAAACACAGCAACCATCAGCCATCACAGCTGCAGCCACTGTTCTTCCTTGCAGGTCTGCCCAGCAGTCACACTGTGAAGGTACATGGCTGGTTAAAGGCACTGAAAAGAAAAAACCCTGACTTCTTACAGAAAGAAGGATAATGTTTCTGAAAAGAGCTACCACTTACTGCTGTTACATCTCTGAAGAACTGAGTGGGATCTCCAAGCCCAGCCACAGACAGCACAGGAGCACTGGCAGCTAATGCCCCATCCACAACATTTGGGTATTTCATCCTCATGTAAGCACTCAGCATTCCTCCATAGCTGGCACAGGAGAGAGAAAAGTGTTATTTCTTTTAACAGACAGTTAATGTTATAAAGACGGATGTTCAGACCTGTAGTCACAAGCTCACCTCACCCAGAACAATGAGAAGCTTAGGGAAATCCATCCTCATGTGGAGAACAATAAAAGAACCAGTTATGGCTGATGAGAAGCACATTGTGTTCTTTCTTACCATCTGCCCCCTGGATCCCCAAGTCAATTCTTGCAGGAATACAGGAGCCCAATTTGCTTCTGCAGACAAAGCTAAATGCTGCCCCAATATCCAGCACCACTGCATTCCGAGACCTGACAGCTTCAGCACAGAACCAGCTGGGGCTCAAGTCAAGAGTCATTGCTTAATGGAGGAAGAAGACACATTTCCCACACAGGATAAAGATTGTCTAAGCAAGGGCTAACAAGCAGAGGGCATCCCTGATCACTACAGAATAGGCAACTCTGCAGTGCTGAGGGGTGGGTGGCAGTCATCCTGGACAGCCCACGTAGCAGCAGCACAGCAGAGAATGAGAGACATTAACAAAGGTCACATGAAATCTCAGAGTCACCTCGAGAGCTTCAGCCACAAGGCCACAGATCTGCAGATGTATCGAGGACTGCTTGATAAACCCAAGGGCACAAAAGTTACTCATATGCAAACTGCTGAGGAGTTACTCTGAGGCCACTCCTGAGGGTGTTACAACCCTCACACCCAGGTAACAACTGGTCTGACTCTGAGCTCTTCACTCGCAGTTCAGAGGTATTCAAGTCCCACATCACTTAAGTGTAAAGCTATAGATTCTTCTCTAAGCCGACCCTTGGAAACAGTTGTAGCTGAAGCCTGACAAGAAATTTCTATTCCACTGATTAAAGTCTGGCAAAGCTATAAGCAACTGAAGGGGGATTTTCTTCCCTGTGGGCTGCTGCATATTTAGCTCTGATTTACACACCAAGAGCTGCAGTCTAACAGCTTGCAGGACTCATTGAACACACCCTGCCAGGACTGTTCCTGATGTGTTTCACACCAGGTCTGTCCTGATGGTCATGGTACATTGTATCCACCATGGTCTACTGAAGCATAACCGTGACTGAATGCTTTTTAACTCACTGCAATGCCTGAGAAGCCCCTCATATTCACTGAAAACCTTTTAAAGGGAAGTATCGTTCTATATAAACACGGTCATGCACGACACCAATGCAGCTCCGACTTGAAACAGAGCAAACACTCTGGGGAAGGATATCTGCTAGGAAGTCAGGAGCAACCAAGCAGCATAGTGCAGAGCAGGATTATAAAGGAGCCAACAATGAAAAAGTCTGCATGCTGTTAAAGAGGCTTGTTTTAATAAATAGCCAGATGGTCTCTCAAAATAATATTTTACCAATTATTATTTTTCTGTATTTTTCATATAGAACGTTCTGATCTTGCAGGTACAATTTCCCACCTTCTGGGGTTCTGGCTGACATTGAAGATGCCTAGAAACTTTCAGTATCCAAAGCAAAGATTCTCAAAGGCAATCACAAGTCAAGACTAATTCTTTATGGGACAGCTGACTGGGCCCTGTGGATAAGCCCTCAAGGAGCTCAGCCACAAGCACATCTGCTCTCCACAGAACAGCTTAGAGCTCTGGCTCTCCAGCGAGCCTTAAAGGCAAGCAGACCTATAAGAATAACACAACTGTGTCTGGGAAAGGATGCAGAGAAGGGTACAGCTATACACAACATTTACCTGCCTCCAAAAGCAATGACAGGGCAGCCTGCAGCTCCATACTGCTGCTTAAGCTCAGTAATTAGCACTGCGTAGTCAGCGAGGGCTTGTTCCACAGTGAGCAGATGAGTATTCTTTATCTGCATTGACTCAAGTCCAAATGGAAGAGATTTCCCATAGTACCTCTGAAAGGAAAGAGAGATTCTGCAGAAATGCTGGTGTCTCCCTGTCCTCACAGCTGGGATAAGTGTGCACAGACAGGAAGTGGAAACAGCACACAGCTTCCACTAATTCATTCGTAACTGAGCAAGTGCCTTGTCTCTGAAGCTGTCTTGTACGAGATAAACAGAGACCTCAAGAATGTATTCTCTAGACTCTAGAGAGGATGGACAAAAAAGCAGAGCTGCTGCCATGCTGAGAAAACCCATGGCAGGTACGCCCCAGCTTCATGGCAAGAGATGCTACTATTCTTCTGGACATGGAGAAAGCTGAAGTTGGTAATGTTAGCACAACTCTTCAGCATGCACAATGACTGCCATACTCACGTGCTCAGCAAAAATCACAAGAGCTTGCTGCTGCTCTGCTAATTCAAATATGAAGTCTGAGTTCTCAGCAAAAGTCCAGATGTCACCTTCATTGCCAGTATAGAAGAAGATTGGTCCAAATCCTTTCTTCCAGAACTTTGCTGAATGAGACAATTGATAGAAGACATGAGAAATGTGTCAGAGCACGAAAGGAATCATTTTGGTGTGTCTGGACAGAAGCTTAACGAGGAAATACCATGAACAGGGTGATCCCCAAGGGCTGTGCTGGGAAAGCAGGTGTCAGAGAGACCGTGCTATAGAAACCCCTCCCTTGCCCAGGGGTGAGAGCTCCCATCAGACTACTACGTGGCTTTGATTTTCCACTTCTGCCTAAAAACCCATGAAAGTGTCAGTATTGCAAGACATTTGGAAATTGTTGCCTCCAAATGAGCCAAGATTTTGCCACCATTTCCATGTATGTACCTTTTTTCAGCCCATGATTTTGGCACAGATCATTTTTCCTACAAAATGAATGTTGGAGAACTGCCTGCCTCTTTACATTGCTCTTACTGGAATATGTAACACACAGCAGAGCTGTAAGTAATGCTTATTTTAACTTCTGACATGCCTATAACTGAACACAAACTGAGACCAGCAGGATAAGCTGGCTGACGATGGCAATACTTGCTTGTGTAACACATCACTGCGTTAGTGCCTGCTGATTTCAGGAAACATTTTTAGCTTAGCCTTGAATTGCATACGAACTAAGGGGGTTAATAAATAGCTTTCTTCAACAAGATCAGCAGATCTCAGTCTGTCAGTTAAACACGGATTTCATCACCCAAGGGGAACCTCCAACAGGTTATCCTACGAACACAACTGGAGCAAAGATTTTCCTGAACTTAATTCTTGGCATTCTCAGTGCAGATTTGCCAGAGTGAGTGTTGGCTTAGAAATGGGTTTGAAATGCTTTGGTAGTGAAGTTGTTATTCTTTGTTAACAAAGTGCCAAGTTTTAGAAAGGCAGGAAACGGAAGTGCTATCCTTATTCTGGTATTTCTTGCAATATGCTCTGTGACTCCTGTGTCATACAACAGAATCGTGGAACCACTGAGGTTGGAAAAGACCTCTAAGTTAACTTAGTTCAACGGTCTGCCTACCACCAGTGCTGCCCACTAACCATGTCCCTCAGGGTCAGTTCACACCTTCTGCCTGAGTGCCCCCAAGGACGGTGATCCCAATGCTCCCCATGCAGCCTTTGCCAGTGCCCAACCGCACCTATGCTGTGTGACAGGAGATGGGAGGCAGTGAGTACAGCGGGTGTGCCGGGCAGCACTGCCTCAGCCCTGCGCCGGTGCTGCTCACAGCTCTGCTCTCCCATTGCACATCTCCCCCAGGCACACGGGATCCAAGCACATCTGCCACCGGTTAACGACGTTATTATGAAAGTGACAGCGTTTTGTTTGGAAAAGCCTCCTCCCTCCGTCTGTCCCCAGAAGATCGCTGCTCGGGCAGGAAGCCGTCGCTCAGCCCCCGCCGCTCAGCAGTAGGGCTATCAGTGACGGGAAGCACGGAACGGCGGGGCGCCTCCCCGGGAGCGGAAGGGAAGCGGGCCGGGGTCTGCAGTGGGAAACGCGCGGCCCCGCCCCCCCGCCGCTCGGCACCCACCCGGGCAGCCCGCCCTGGCTCGGCACCCACCTGACAGCAGGAACCGCTGCGGGAAGGTCTCGTTGCCGCCGGCCTCGAAGCGGAAGTGGTCCCGCACCTGCGGGAAGAGCCGCTCCTCCAGGCCGGGTCCCGCCGGCCGAGCGGCTGCAGGAGGGAACCGTCAGCGCCGGGACACCGGCAGCATCCGCCGCCGCCCCACGGCCCGGCCCAGCGCGGAGCAGCTCGGAGCCGCCCGGCCCGACTGAAGGCCCCCGCTTGGAAGGGGTGGCTCGGGGCCCAGGGTTGGGGGAAACGAGGGGTCCCGGCTCGAGCACCCACCGGGCGCGCCGCGGCCCGGCGGCAGAAGCGCGAGGAGGAAGAGGAGCAGCAGAGGTGAGCACGTTTCCATAGCGGCGTTCCGCTCTGCTCCGCACACGGACCTGACCGCCCGCATGGAGACCACCGGCGGCTGAGCACGTGACTCCGGCGGCAGCACGTGACAACACCTCTTTCCTCACGTGACCGCGCGGACGCCATGCCTACCGAGGCGCCGCCATGTTGTCCACCGGGGCATCTCCCGGGGTCTCTTTTCCGGCGATCGCCGCCCATGCGCGAGTGAGGAGCCGGTGTGGGCGGTGCAGGGTGAAGCCAGAGCTGGAGCGGACCGTTGAGGTTCAGGGCTCTAAAAGAAGAGGAAAGTAATTGTTATCCTTACAGGCCGTTATGAAGATTGTGGGAACATCCAGAGATGCTGAGGGACGAAATTGTCTCGGCTGAGTGGAAGGTTTCTTCAGTGATGCCATTTGTGTAACTCAGTCCCAGTCAAAAAGCATCTTCAGAAATGAAAGTTCTTGCTTGTGGGTGGAACAAAAAGCCAGAGCTTTCTGATACATGAAAAGAAAAATAAATAATCTGGTTTTGTCTCTCCCCTGTCAATAATCATAGAATCATAGATTGGCCTGGGCTGAAAAGGACCACAGTGCTCATCCAGTTCCAACCCCCTGCTGTGTGCAGGTCGCCAACCAGCAGCCCAGGCTGCCCAGAGCCACATCCAGCCTGGCCTTGAATGCCTGCAGGGATGGGGCATCCACAGCCTCCTTGGGCAACCTGTTCCAGTGCCTCACCACCCTCTGTGCGAAAAACTTCCTCCTAATGTCCAACCTAAACCTCTCCGTCTCAGTTTAAAACCATTCCCACCTGTCCTATCACTATCCACCCTCACAAGCAGCCATTCCCCCTCCTGTTTATACATTCCCTTCAAGTACTGGAAGGCCACAATGAGGTCTCCCTGCAGCCTTCTCTTCTCCAAGCTAAACAAGCCCAGTTCCCTTAACCTTTCCTCGTAGGAGAGCTAATATTATTAGGAGAGCTAATAATACTGAGCTTTTTATTTTTTTTCCCCCCAAAACACAGAAGCACCATGTTGCTTTCAGACTGCCCACCCTGGGCCAGCTCCTCAAGCACCCCTTGGAGGGAGCAGGGCTGTTTGTGACCTTGTGGCCCCAGCACTGCAAGCCTGTGTTTTAGAAGCCTGTATTTGCATTTTGGCCTTTCACTTAAAATTACATCAATCTGTCCTCTGTCTGCCCCAGGCCGATTATTCCGCAGCTCTTGTGCTGTGGAAGTGGAAGGATGGGACGCTTGTTCTGTCTGAACGAAGCGCTGTGTCTGCATCCCATAAGCTGTGGTTTTCCTGTAAGCTGTGGTTCTTCCGTAAGCCGCGGTGCTGCGCTGTGGATCGGCTCTGTTGTCAGCCAAAAGGCGGCTGATGTGAATGAACAGCTTCCTGGCAGCATGGAAATGTGACTTACAAACCATTTGAAAATGTGAACGGGGGTGAAAATAGGAAGAGTGGTTGAGCATATAGTCAGATTTAAAAAGCCTTTCACATAGCAATTATGTAAGTTTAGGTTCTCTCTTTGGAGAAAGACAGTTCAGCCTCCCTGACTGCACAGCTCCTGTCAGCTCTGCCTCACTTCCCTGCCCCTTTCTGCAGTGACTGCTCATCCCAGAGAAGAGGTGGCTCAGGGGGATCTTATCCACAGTACTGATGGAGGTGGTGTGGTTTAACCCAGCAGAAAGCTCAGCACTTTGTGATCGCTCACTGACTCCCCAGGTGGTGTAGGGTAGAGAATCAACAGTACACGTGTGAGAAACCATGGTTTGAGATGAAAACAGTTTACTAGGTAAAGCAAAAGTTGTGCAAGCAAAGGCAAAACCAGGAGTTCATTTGCTTCTTCCCATCTGCAGGCAGATGTTCAACCACTCCCAGGAAAGCAGGGCTCATCATATATAATGCTTTTTTTGGAAAGACAAATACCATCCTTCCAAATGTTCTCCCCTTTCTCCTTCTTCCCCTCCACTCTCAGTTTTATTGCTGAACACAATGTCAGGTGGCACAGACTGTCCCCCAGTCAGTCTGTGTCAGCTCTGTCCCCTCCCAGCTCCTTGCACACCCCCAGCTCCTTGCAGGCAGGGCAGCACAAGACACAGAGAAGTCCTTGGCTCTGAGTAAGCACTGCTCTGCAACAAGAACAGTGTCAGTGTTCTCATGCTGTTTTCATGAAAAATCCAAAACACAGTGTCATGTGAGCCTCTGTGAAGGAAATTAACTCTATCCCAGCCAAAATCAGGACAAGGGGGTGCACAGAAGATGCAGCTGGGCTCTTCACTGATGCCCAGTGACAAACAAGATGCAATGGGCACAGTCTGGAACAAACAAGGTTCCATCTGAACATCAGAAAGCACTTCTGTGCTGTTTGGGTGTCAGAGCACTGGCACAGGTTGCCAGGAGAGATTGTGGACCGTCTTCCATCCTTGGATGTATTCAAAGCCTATCTGAACAAGGTCCTGGGCAAGTGGCTCTGGGTGGCCCAGCTTGAGCAGAGGGCCTGGACCAGGCTGGTCTCACCTAGTCTGTGAGTTTGTGACCATTTGCTATTGGCAACAGGGAACAGCATCACTGCTAGCTTGGAGCAGTCTTGCTTGGAGTGAGGATATGGTGTGTTTGGGCACTTCATCCTTTCCCCTGCTGACATCCTGCAGCATCGCATGGAGCAAAAAATGTGGTCTTTATTTTGGAAAAGGGTTCTATATTTCAGCTTGTGGAGTAAGTGAAAAAATCATTGGAGGAAGAGGTCAGGGATTCAAAATGTTCATTGTCTCATGTACTGCAGAGGTGGGAAGCTGGCACTGTAATTGCAGCAAGGCCACGTGCAGCCAGGGGTCTACTGCTCTGGGAGAGAGCAAGGGCTTTGCTAATGCACCTTTTCTGATTCTGCAGGCCCTTTTATGTCATTTTTCTTGCAGCCAACCTAATCAGTTCTTGGCCTGGTAGCCGTCTTCTGTCTTTAAGCTCTGAGCCAAAGTTCAGCACTGCAATGCTGTAAGTACAGGGAAACCAGGTCCCCAAGAAGTGCAGCAAACTGGGAGCTGTGTGATGCCAAGGTGAGCCCAGGTACAGAAGGCAGTGTGCAGTTTGTGCCAGCTGGATAACAAAGTGTTAATGTCAATTCCTGTCCAGAATGGAACATACATGGATTGGGCAAAGTGATGTTACAGCATTCGCCTCCTGATAAGATGCTGTGGGAAGTCAGGCTTGGTAGCATGGTAACCTTGACAAGGCTGCTGGCTGAGCAGCAGTGTTCTGAGCTGCCACAGTGCTCGTGCAGCCTGGGAGGGGAACAGCTGCAGGCCTGGGTCCTGGAGCCTCCCTCAGATGCATAAGGCTGTCTCCATTAGCTACCTCTGTTGTGTTTACCAGCACCACATATGGGCAGGTGCTGATTAGACACTTCTGCCAGGACCTGCAGCCTCACACTGCAGTCAGGAAGGAGAACCTGGGGGCTGTGTGTCCTGATGAAAGTGCTGTTGCGTTTTATTAACCTGGGCAGCCTGTGCTGCACTGGCAGCTCCAGATTCATTCTGCAAGCAATACTCCTAAGCCCAGCCAGGAGTGGGGCTGTATGCCAACAACTGGCACCACTTGTTTCTTATATTTCACAGGGGGGTGCAGTCTGTCCCTGTGTAAGGGTTTAGGCCTACCCTACTGTGAACAGGCAGTGATGTTAGCAGCTCTCAGACATGGCCAAGGAAAAGGTCTTGGAGGCAGCCACTAGCACAGGTGTTTGTGGCCCAGTGTGCAGTGGGCAGGTGGGAGGTGCATGCCTTGGGGCAGGAGAGGAGCTCAGCAGGAACCTCAGACTTTTTAAAAGCACCAAAGTAAGTCATAGTGCCCTGCAGAGTGATGCTTGCCCATGTGTTTTTTCCTCTGGGAGAAGAATTCCTGCACACGATTTCTCAGGCTATAAACTTCCCCTTATGCAGCACCATGCTGTTCCATGATGTTCCATGGTGTTCTGCTCAGCTGCCAACAATCTCCTGGTTGTTCCGTGTTACCCACGTTGCAGGAAGAGCTGCAGTAGATGTCTTGGCAGATGTGGGCAGTTTCTGTGCTGTCTCTGGACTTTGTCTAAAGGTTTATTCCAGTTGGGTACTCTGCATTGCTGTTTTACTGTCTAAGAAGATGCAAACTCCTGACAGCATTTCTGACTGCTGGATCTGAAGGCAATTGCTCTGGGGTGTGGATTTTTAAATGTCTGTGACGGGGTGAACTCATACTGCAGCATCCCCTGCACAAGGAGCACAGGCTTGGTCTCACTTCCCTATCTGCTGCCTGTTTTCAGAAAACTAAGCACTTCTGAGGTTTAACCATTCTGTCAGACGTGGCTGAAGTGGCAAATGAACTGCAAAGTTGTCCATGGTGGTTCAATCCCATGGAGGCAGTGTGACTGCATGAGTCTTATTTCTAGAAGGTATCTCCCAAGGAGCGTAAAGAGAACAAATATCTTGCATAGCATCAACCTATGGAGTGATGCAGGGCTGTGCTCTGTAGAATATGGCCTTCCATCGAGTATGGGTTCAAAATTGCATGTGCTTAGACATCTCCAGTCCCTCTCGCTGTTGCCCTGCTGTACAGGCTTGCCCGGGCCTCCCAGGAGCCCCTTACCCTGGTCACAGTGGCTCTTCCATGCAATGAGATACACCTGGGCCCTCAAGTCAGTCCTCAGCAGTGGGATTTTCTGTTATTGGACGTTTTCCACCAGAGCAATTTGCACCTTCTGTAGGCTTCTTTTAAGGCTGTTGCTTTGGGACCAAATCTTGTCTCTGCTGTCACACATATGGTTCTGCCCAGTGGTTTTTCAGTATCACCTGCAGAGATCTCCAGTGCTGACTACAGGCAGCTCTCACCTTGCAGTTTCTTGGGAGCTGCCAGCTGGTGTGGAAGTCCCCACAACCACTTGGTGGCTGTCAGCTCAAGGACCAGCTGAGGCTTAACTGGCTTCTCAGCTCCTCCAGGGACACCCTTTGACCTTTGTTTAATCACATCAGTGGCAGCATGCACACAGAATAGAGCATCCTTGGAAACATTCCAGGATCCCTGATAATCCTAAAGCGATTGACAGTGGGGGTGGAATTGAAGCAGAGTTGCTGCCTGACTGCTGCCATGGACATGCTAGAACCCCTGCTCTGCCTATGGTTGGTGGGCACGAGGAGCTGTGGGCATACCAAGTAGGCTTGGAGAGATGATCCGTTACTTAAAGCTCTGCTAGAGGATTAAAGCACCTGGACAAGGGAAGGAGATTCTTGCTAGTAGAAACGTAAGTGGCAATTCATTTGGGTCTTGTGTCTTTCTGCTGGGCAGTGCAGGTTCTTCTTGGCCATCAGTGCTGTGAGGTTTGCTGCTGGTGCTTTGTACTCATGAAAGTGTCATTTCCAGTAGGTTTGCCTGTGCAGTGCTCATCTGCTTTAATGATGCAGACGTTGGAGCCACAGAGCCATCTAGCTGCTTGTTCAGCTGGATTGGACCTGAGCACTGCCTCTCTAGTCTGACACCTGCCAACAATCACTGGATAATTCACAGCTTCCCTGCAAGCTGTACAAGCTGACAGCTGCTGTCAGGGCTGCTTTCAGTGCTGCATTTTGCACAGGACAGGGAAAGTGGTGCATGCTCATGGGTGAATTTGAGGCAGGACAGCGAAGTGTGGGTGGCCATGAGCTGCTGCATAAAAGTAATATGCAGCCCATGTAGGGATGTTTGTGTGCTCAGGAAAGCAAAAGAGGTAGAAAGAGCTGGAGTTTTCCTTTTACCCCAGCACTGAGTAATTTGCTCTTGATGGGCAGTCTGGAAGGAGAAGGTAGGAGGTGGGATGGTGAGAGCACAGTGCTGGCTGGGCAGCAAGGCAGGCCTGGAGTACCTGGAGCCTGTAGTGCAATGAGAAAGGATGTGCCTGGAATTTACCTCCAAAGTATTATAGGATCATAGAATGGCTCAGGTTGGAAGGAACCTTAAAGATCATCTGTCCCTGCCATGGGCTGGCTGCCCTCCCAAGCTCAGGCTGCCCAGGGCACCTCCAGAGTTGGGACACCCACAACTTCTTTGAGTAACCTATTTAGATACCTCACCACTTTCTGATAAAGAATTTCTTTCTAGCATCTAACCTAAATTTCCCCTCTTTTCATTTAAAGCCATTTCCTCTTGTCCTATCACCATTTGCTCATGTTAAAAATTGGTTCCCCTTCTGTTTATAAGCTCCCTTCAACTTCTGGAAGGTCTCCCCACAGCCTTCTCTCCTCCAGTCTGAGCACCCCCAGCTCCTCAGCCCGTCTTTGCAGCAGAGGTGCTGCAGCCCTCTGCGTTCCTCGTGGCCTCCTCTGGCCCCGCTCCAACAGCCCCACGTCTTTCCTGTGCTGGGGCCCCAGGCCTGGACGCAGTACTCCAGATGGGGCCTCACGAGGGCAGAGCAGAGGGGGACAATCCCCTCCCTGCCCGCTGCCAGCCCTCTGTGGGTGCAGCCCAGGGTGCTGCTGGCCTTCCGGGCTGCGAGCGCACACTGCTGCTCGTGTCCAGCTCTTTGTCCACCAGGACCCCCAAGTCCTTCCCTGCAGGGCTGCTCTCAAGGAGATCTTCCCCCAGTTCGTATAAATACCTGGGATTGCCCTGACCCAATGCAGCACCCCACACTCAGCCTTGTTGGTCCTCATTAGGTTTACATGGGCCCACCTTTCATGCCTGCCCAGGTCCCTCTGGATGGCATCCCTTCCTTCTGTTGTATCAGCTGCACCACTCACCTTGGTGCTGTCTGCAGACTTGCTGAAGGTGCACTCAATCCCATCATTTAAGTCACTGATCAAGATGTTCAAAAGTTCTGGTCCCAAGACGGACCCCCTGGGGAACACTGCTCATCGCTGGACCATTTTCCCTTCCTCCTTTATCAGAGGGGTGCACTTTCTTTGTCTTTAATTTTTTTACTAATGTACTTGCAGCATCCCTTCTTGTTACTCTTTGCATCCCTTGCATTTCTGCTGCTGGCTGCAAGGATGATGTACCCCAAATGTCCCTGATTGGTAGGAACAGTGTAGCCTGAAGTTGTAGCCTGGTTTGGCTGAGCATCGTCACACTGGGCAGCTCTGCTTTTGCTGCTACCCCGACTCTCCTCTGTGACGGCAGAGCTGGCTGCTCTCTGCTTGGTGCTGCAGCAGAGGCACGCTGCTGGAGATGTTACTTACAGCTGCTGCTTAGCAACCATGTTTGCAAGACAGCAGTAAATGGGCTATAGCCCCTCTTCAGATCAGGTATCTAGAAGCCTTCAAGAGTCTTAATTATCAGTTACATGAAAATGCTGTCCTTTGCTTGGCAGCAGCTCTTGGTGATTTGTTCTGCAGAATCACATGTGACTCCTGGACAGCAGCTCAGCATCCTGCAGGAAGAGGACTTCTGTTGTTCCCCTTGTTAAGGATCATTTTATAAGGATATAAGGGGCTGCAAGATGTGGCTGGGCTTTAGGGAGAGGTGGGCAATGTTCTCATGACATCTGTAGTGGTGAGATGTTCCTTTGCACATGTCCATGTGCCAGTACCTGCCCCCATTGCCACAGCTGTGTCCCCTGTCCCAGCTGCCTCCATCTGGCGTGTGACCCAGATTTGGTCGGCCTGCCCTCGGCGGATAACCCCAATGGCTGCTGGGTGCTCTGGCCGCGGGGTTTGCATTGCCCACTGCACTGAAAGGACGGGGGCTGCCCTGCTGATGCCCTGCGGGTCCGTGGAGAGCTAGATCCTCGCGGAGCCGGGCCGGGGCTGGGACAGGAGGCAGAGCCGGCTGAGGGGACGTGAGCTGCTGCCAGAGACGGGAAGAGAAAGCGCTCTTCTTAGGTTGGGTTCCCCGGGCTCTGGCTTCGTGCAAGTGCTGGGTCGTCCCGGTCAGTCTCCGTGTACCGGTGGAATCCGACAACGGCGTCCTCGTGAAACGGACGCGTTACGAGCGCGGGGGGGCCTCCCCCACCTCCGGGGGGCACGGAGGGAGGAGCCGCAGCAGGCGGTGCGCGGGGCGGGGCGGGGCGGTGCCGCGGGCTGCTCGGCCCGAGGGAGCGGGTGCGGAGGAGCTGCGGGGGGAGCGGGTGAGTGCCGGCCGTCACACGGCTGCGGGCGGCCGCCGGTTAGTGACGCCTTGCCGGTTGGCGGCTTCGGGGGGGGCAGAGCTGATGCTGGGCTCGAGAGCCCGCTTTGTGCGTGGTCCCGGCGGAGCTGTGCTGGGTTGTGCTGGGCTGCAATTCCTCGGCTGCAGCCCTTCCGCGCAGAGCGACGTCTCTGATACTGCATGGGGTTTTAATTTAAAGACAGGCCGTGGGCAGTTTGGAAGGCTGGGGGAAGAAAGCTGGTACAGAGGAAGGCCGTGGGATTTGGGTTTTCTGGGGAATCGGCTCTGTGGCTCCTGCCCCGTCCGGTGGTGGCTCAGAGGGCCGCGGGTGGCGGATGGAGACCTCTGGGCACCGAGTGAGCGGTGGCACTGCCGGCACTGCCCCGTGATGCGAACCGCACCGACAGCTCCGTCCTGTGTCAGTCTGCTGTGATGAGTGGGTGAGTTTGGAAAGAGTCTGTGTGCTGTGAGTCCGCATGGGACGATTTGCCTTCAGTTTTCCTATCTCTTAGCAATAGATGTCTTTGCAATCCAGGGCTAGAAAGGGTGGAGCGCACGTCTGTGCAGAGCCAGCATTGCCTGAGAATTCACTGTACTTCACTGTGTTGCTACAAAAATGGTCATCTGAGGTACAAGTCTGTTCTCTCGTTGAGTTTCCTTGGTCCTCTGTGATGGGTCAATGCTCCTGATGTTTGCTGCCTCTGCTGCTGCACACAGAGCCTGGGAAAGCAGCTTTCTTGCCTCAAGAAATGTGTTCATGTGTTGTAGTGCAAATACTACTTGTTTATGGATTGAAAAATTGGTTCAGTTGGGGTCAAGAACGATTGGTTTCCCTAGCAGGGGTACCTGCCTTCTTTAATGCTGCTGCGTGGAAAAGTAACTTTTGAGATGTTTAACTGGATCTCAGCTTTATCTGCTGGATTTTTATCGGGGTCTTTCATGGTCTGGAGAGTGGAAAATATGCTGGGGGGAGCAAGTTTGGCACATTTAGGGACCCCAATTAGAGGCAGATGAAGTGCAGGGGCAGGGAGCAGATGCATTTCAGCATGCTTCACCCCACAAAGGAGGACCTTTGCCCTTCCTCTCATGGTGGATCAGGCTTATCCCTTGCACTGGAGCTGCTGCCTCAGGATGGCACATGTATCCTGTGCTGAAGTCAGGGTTAGGAAACGTGAGTCCAGTCCCCCTGGCGGTGCTGAATTGGGTTTTAACATTCAGTCGCCTGCTGTGCTGTGTGCCTGCTGCTGCTGCTGCTGCTGCTGCTGGGCTCTGTGTGGGCAGACACAGCTTTCTGCCTCCTCTCTATAGACCTTTGGCCTTTTTTTTTTCCTTTAGCAGCTGCAAATGTGGAGAGAGGAGTGATCTGGGAAGGGAACAGGGTGAACTTTGCAGAACAGGTGTGTTGTTTTTGCTTTAGGTTTTGCAGAGCTTGATCATTGCTGAGCAGGAAAGGGCACTGGCGTCACTGGGGCACATGACAAGGCTGCTTGATATCCCTTGGTTTTGACCAGATCCAACGGGTTGCTTGTTGTAGACTCTTGAAAATAAAGGCATAGAATCATTAAGGTTGGAAAAGACTTGTAAGAACACCCAGTCCAACTTACTGCCACCAATCCTGCCCACTAACCATGTTCCTAAATGCCATGTCTCCTCAGTTCTGGAACACCTCCAGGAACTCCACTGCTCCCTGGGCAGCCTGTGCCAGTGCTTGACCACTCTTCTGGAGAAGAAATGTTTCCTAATATCCAATCTGAACCTCACTGGCACAATTTGAAGCCATCACCTCTTGTCCTATCACTGGAGGATGTAGCATGTTGCACCTTGCATTGCTGCATCCTGAAGGCAATGGAAAATCATAATTTCTAAGCTGATACAGGGCTGAAAGGCCATCTGGAGTCAGAGATGAGGTCTGGCTCTTGCCCTGGTGCTCTTGCCCTGGTGCAAACATCACATCTGATTCCAGAGCGGCCCTCCAGGCCCCAGCACCCTGCTTTCCACATCCATCTCAGCTGTGGGGTGCTACTGTGTGGCTTTCCTATGGAAACAGGACAGTGACATGTCATGCAAAGCTGTCCTTCCTTCCTGCCCATCCTGATGCAAATAGGGCTTTGGGCTAATGTCAGCAGAGAGCCCTTTGTCAGGCATTGGGGATGGTGCAGTGCTGTGAGGAACAAATGAGTAATGAATGAATGATCTCCTGGAGGAGAACAGTCACAGCGATAAACAGTATCTGCCCACCCACAGGTTTCAAAGACCTAGAAAGCTTTAGCTGTGTTTATTGTGGTCAGAATTTTCCCAGGAACACACTCAGAAGAGCAGGGTTCAGCGGTCCTTTCCATCTGCCCCTGTCTGTAGTGCAGCCAGCAGCTCTGTTGGCCCCATGGGGCTCTTCTTCCATCACCCACCGGTAGAGGAGATACAGCAGTAGTTGGTGGGAGGTGGGTCTATGTCAGCTGTCTGCTTTACCCATCCTGTTCCCCCATCTCTCAGGGAAGATGTAGGTGGAGCACAAGGCTCAGGTCCTCTCCAAAGCAGTGCCTTGGGCACTTCTGTTACTAAGCCTTTTTCTGACAGCTTTCCATCTGTAAAATCGAGTCACTCCCCACCTGGCTCCCAGAGTGCAGAGCCCTGTTTGTACACCCTAAACATTCCCCAAATGGGGCAGGGTGTTTGGTGGTTGTCCTGGTCAGTGTTTTTAGAGCAAATCATGAGGGATTGGCCTTGTGACTGCCGAGCTGTTACGGCATTTTTTCTTCCTTCTGCACCATTTCTGTTTCAAAGGGATCTGTGCGCCTCGTCAGTCACCATTTTGTAAAGCAAGCTCAATCAAAGCCTTTGCTGCTGACTGTCTTGGGGAGTGTTTTCCTTTGATTTTTGTCATGTTTCTCTTCCTTCAAACTCCCCACAGGTTTCCCATCAGACAGGCAGCAGTTTGGCACTTTGTGAGCATGGGAAGTGCTGCTGGGAGTCGTCTACACAGGGGGCTCCATAGGTGGTTTGGTAAATCTGTGCTGAAACTTGGTGTGAAACAGCTAAATTCTCCATGAAATAACACTGAAATGGTGCCTGAGTCCTTAACCTTGCTGGAAGCTAGACTGTCCCAAAATCTCAGTGTATTTGGACCTGAGGAGTTTTTATTGGTTTTGTGGAAACCACTTAAAATGGGACTTGGTTCAGTGTGTGTAGATGTGTCCGAGCTGGGGATTGATGGTCCTTTGAAGTGCCCAAGGCCATACACATGGCTCCGGGCAGCCTGATAGCAGGGGGCACCCAGCCCACGGCAGGGAGGTTGGAACTGGATGGTCTTTTAAGTCCCTTCCAACCTGAGCTGTTCTGTGATTTCATGATTGCTCTGTGGAGGAGGGAAGCACCCTGTAGCATCCTCTGCAGGCTGTCTTTGCATGGAGCTCCTCTCTAACCACATGTCTGGAAGGAGGATTTGCAGCCTGGGGTTTGCATCCTTGCAGGACAGCCTGGGTCTGTTGGGGTGCTTGGAGGTCCCAGCACCTGTAGATGGAGAAATCCCAGAGGAGGGCTATGCCTCAGGTTTGCTTTTCAAAATACAGCAGCTGTGCCCATGTAGTGCCCACTCAGCCAAGCACACAACTTCATGTGCTCCAAACCCTGTGGGGATGCTCTCAGCCCTGCTGCCTGCAGCTGGGGGGTCCCTGAGAAAGACCTCAGTGCTCCATGTCCTCTCTCCCCTGGCTCCAAAGAAGCTGTGACATAGATCTTGGCATTTTGGAAGGCCATTTTCTTCCCCAGCCCACTACTTGTCAGCCCTCATCTGGGGACAAACGCGTTTCTAGGAAGAAAATAAAGGCTTGGCTCCCACTTGCTAGCATAACGTTCAGGGCATCCCAGCGTGCCGAGGGTGTTGTGGGGAATCTTCTGTGGACAAAGGGACAATTGATGAACTGGGTCGTGGCAGGAGGAGATGGTACGTGGGAAAAGCAGGGAACAGAGGGGGCTGTGGGAAGGAAGCATTCCCATTGCAGGGGCAGCTCCCCGCAGTCTGCTTGGCTGGAGAGGAGATGTGCATGCCTGTGTGGGTGCCCTGCAGGCAGGGAAGGAGAGTTCCAGTCTCCGTGCTCCCTTGGCAGCTCTCCCTGCATCTCAGCTGCAGGGCTGTGGGAGGGTGGGAAGGTTGATGCAAGTGTTGTGGTGTGAGATCTGGGACAGGAGCTCGGGGAGGGCAGAGCTGCCTTGGCTTCAGCTGGAAGCTTTGGAGCGTCCTTCTGCTGACCGTTGTCTTCTTTGGTTACAGTCTGAGCATGTGCTGAGAGGGGGAAATGCTTAAATAGCTCTATTAAGCACCAGTGGCTTGCGAGGTACCCAGAAGTAGTGCTTGCTCAGACATCAGTGTCAGAAGCCCATTTTCTACTTTTCCTGGATTTGCCTTCCCTGCATCTAGGAGAAAGCGATGCAGTGAGGAAGTAGGGGTGGCATTGCTTTGGAGGGTTCTGAACACAGTCCTAACAAAGACAGAAAGAGCCTGGGGGGAGAAGGCTGTTGAGAAAAGTATTAGTGAAGAAGCAAGACAATTTAATATAGGGATTTGGGGAGTTAGACAGATTTGGGATACATAGAGAGGCAGGGAGTTGGTGGGGCATCTCCCCTGTATGTCATTCTTCAGGGCTCCTATTGGACAGAGGGCACCTGCTGAGCCAGGACTCTTTTAAGATGGCACGTTTTACATTTACACTCAGAAGGCTTGTCTGGAGGCCTGCAGTAAGGAACGTGGCGTTAGGCAGTGCCACATGAGCTGTGTTAGGAGCAGTTCTGACATGGTGGCTTGTTGCCCAGCGTGAGCTGGTCAGGTCAGGCAGTGTTCCCCAGATTTTCCTTGGGCTGCACTGTCCAGTGGGGAAGGCAATGCATCCTACCTGTCCTAGACCCACAGAAGGTAGAAGTGAATGTATATTAATATGACATCTTTAAATTCTCATCTGAAGGAGTCCGAATGCAACCAACATGAGGCAGGCTGGGCTCAGAAGCACCTCATCACAGAGACAGTGCCCACAGGCGATGTGTGCTCTGGGGTGCAGCACGGCACATCTGCTCTCCCTCTGTTCTTGCGGCTTCATCCAGCTCTGTTTCCCGGTGTAGGAGCTGGGGTGGAGCACACGTGCTGCTGGTCGGCTCCCTGCGGAACGCGCTGTGTTTCAGCTGCTGTCCCGCGATGTGCGAGGCGGGGCTGCTGGCACCGGAGCCTTGCGAGGCGGCGCGGGGCTATGGCGAATCGTCGGACACCTGCTGCCATATGGACCGCTGGCAGAGGCTGCGCACCGCCGTCCGGAGGCTGGAGTTCTGGGAAAGCTTCAGTGCCGAGCTGGTCGGGAGCGGCTTCTTCTCAAAGGTGTACAAGGTGAGAGTGCTGGGGGCGACCCGAGCCGTGAGGCTGCTGCTCTGGGAGAACTCAGAAATGGGGAAGAGTGACAGTACCTGGTCTGAGAGCGACAGGACGGGGGGGTGGCTTTAAGCTAGAAGAGGGTGATTGAGGTGAGATGTGAGCTGGAAATCCTTTACTCTGAGGGCGTTTTTAACCCTCTCTCAGGAAGCACAGAACCAGCGCCCTGCTTGCTTTGCTCCTCTCCAGTGCTGCTCTTCAGCCCAGGAGTGCTGTAGCATTGCGCCGTTGCTTGTTTTTGGGTGGCGGTGGGGCCTGGAGCTCCTTCCCTGCAACCCTCAGCCATTTCTTTGAGCAGCGAAAGGAAGGGAAGACCTGGCAACTGAGGCAGCATCTCAGAGAGTACAGTACCACCAGGTCTGCTCACATCATCTTCCTCCCCGGTGTGGCTGCTGGCACTGAGCTTGTTTGCTGGGTTGTGGTGTGGACCCAGTGGATCTGGGTCTGGCTGCACTGATGCCTTTACCTTGGCCAGCTGCAGCTGGAGATGTGGGTTTTGAGTGAAAATGCAATGACTTTCCGCAACAGAAGTTGAAAAGGAAATGTCAAAAAATAAAGCTGGAGTGAAATGTTGCATCTCACATAGAAGACAGTGGAGGAGGACTTGGAACAAGGCAAGACCTTTGTTGGGACTTGACATTTGCTCGGGACTCGAGCTGGATGGTCTGGTTACTGGCATTCCTCTGGGGTCAGGCAGTCTCAGCCCTGAGCAGCAGCGCTCCTGTTGGGAAGCACCACAGGGATGGATGGCCATGGAGCCCTCTGCCTACAGCTGCTGTTTTCCAAAGTGCTCCCCCACATGGTCACCAGCTCCTGGCCCTGTGGTGCTGGCACAGAGGGGCTGTGTCCTGCTCGTGCTGCCCTTGTCCTCTGGTACAGCCTGTGCTTGGGGTCCCTGGTGTGCAGGCTGGCTGTGCACGGACTCACTTGTGCACAGGGGTTCAGGCCGAGAGGTCTGGCATAGCCTTCTGTGTGGGGAACGATGCGCTGTGTGGCTGCTATTTGGGGCAGGCTGAGGGATGCTTTGGGTTGGCAGGAACCAAACACTGGCCGTGTGCTTGGAAGAGGCCTCTGAAAGAGGCTGGTGTCATCTGAAATCTGATTCCCAGTGACTTGGGCTGGGCCTCCAGTTTGGAAAAGGAAAAACGGCTTTGCACCCCACTGAAGACACACACTGTGTGAGACCTTGAGGGCTGAGCTTTGGCTGTGATCCATTGCATCTTTTGTACTTACAGCTGTGTGGTTATGGCTAATAATTGATGACACCTGAGCAGCAAGTTGGCGTGGTTACAGTGTCCCATCAGGGGATGCTGTCAGAGCCCAGCTTTCTTTTCAGCCTCTGCAGACTGCTGCCAGGCTGCGTTCCATCAGGAAGGAGAAAGCAGCTTGTGTTACTTCCAAGATGATTTGTTTTGTGGTCCTAGTGGTAATGAACCTTTTTCTCCTTTCAGCTAAGCAAGGTCTTAACATGCATCTCTGTGTTCTCCTCACCTCTGCTGGTTACCTTAGCTGTAAAGCAGTCATAAAGAGAGCAGTGCGTGATGCTATGAGACTCAGACTGCTGCTCTGAAGCCATCTCAGACTGTGTTTGAGCTATTTCACTGTCAAAACAAAACAAAAAAAAGCCCCAAAGCTCTAAATGAGAGAAAGAGAAACGTAGGCTCAGGCGGCAGTGGGGAGCAATGTGGTGTGAGCAGCAGTAATGAGATCCAGGCAGGAGGGAGAGGAGGAGATGGACAGATGAGGCACTGAAGTAAGGGGAAGGGAGAAGGTCAGCTCTTCAGTAACTCACTGTGGGCTGAGAAACTGCTCCAGCCAAAGTGACTCAAATTTTGGCTGAGTGTCCTGGTTTGCTGAGGCAGGAGAGAGCTGGCTGTCCCCAGTCACCACGTCAGGTTTCACAAAGTGGAACTGGTATGGGAAGGACAGCACCTTGCCCTTGTGCTGGTGGCTGTCCAAAGCTATGGGCAGCAGGGAAACAGGAGCCAGGGCTTTGGCTGGGAAGGGGTGCAGCTGTTTGGAGGGGCTGGCAGACACCTTGAGGCTGACAAATGTCCTGTTCCACCCTTGGCTCCAGGTGACCCAAGCTGCTGCTTGTAAAGTGATGGTGGTGAAGATCTACAAGAATGACGTGGACCAGGAGGTGATAGTGCGTGAGATCAGCCTGCTGCAGAAGCTCTCCCACCCCAACATTGTCAGGTAGGCATGACGTCTGGCCATGGGCAGGGGCACTGGTGGGGGCTGGAGCTGCCTCAGTGTCTCTGTGGCAGTTCTGTGGGGAGGGATCGAACAGAACCTTGATGGCTTGTTGTCA